TGATGTGCAGCTAGACCTATCAGATCCCTGGGTGAATTCCCACCTGGGAGCATTAAAGAAGGGCCCCAATGGACTGTGAAGAGGAGGCTGAAGGAGGTGTTGTTGTTAGTGCTATTATGGCCTGAATCAAGATAAGGTCTTACTATTTTCTTTTGGTTTCCTGTGCTGAGAGTAGTAAAGGCTTAAACCTTTTGTGTTATGGAATTTTAAAGGTTTTTTTTTCAATCATTAAACTGGAATTTATAACTCTTGGAACAAAGTTCTAGAACTAATTTATCTGATCTGGTTATTTTATGACTTTTTTACAATCCTTCTTGTATAATAATGTTAACCTGCGATAAATGAATGGGCATCATAGCTGGCTCGAAAATCCTCTCTGCCTCAAGTGGATTAAAGTAAGTGTTAATAATTTAGTTAAACATTAAAAAGGGGGGCTTTGAGAGACCGAGAGTGCCTTGTTGCATCATTCTTGGACATTCCTGTTTTGGTTGGGGGGGGGAGTGAGGATTTTGAATTGCTTCTGTTGTAGATTCCATCTAGTCATACAAGAATATGACTTCTTGCAGTCTGATGCAATATATATCCCACTTTAGTCTCTTGTTCTCTTTTTAGTGGCTGGTTAAAATTTGTAACAGTACTTCTATGGAAAGCACACATACCTTTCTCTATGGCCAGGGGTAGGCAAGCCCTGGCACAGATGCCAGATCATAGTATGCAAAGGCATATAGTTTTGACAGATGTGTCTTGGGGTGGAGAGTGGGGAAACAGTTGGGGTTGTGCTGCCACCACAAGGAACAGGTCACTCATGGCTCTCCCACAGTCTGCCCTTGGTATGTCAACATGTTACAAGTCAAGGCTGTTGGTGTTTTTGGCACTTTGCCCAAAAATGCTGCCGACCTCTGCTCTATGGTATGCTTTGGTGTTGGTAATTGAAGCAGGAATTTGGGGTTTGTATCTGGAGTTGTGCATCATGTTTGCTAGTGCAATGTCTGAGGAGCCTCTGCTTGTCCTGGTCAGAGAACATTGACTACCTGACCCTCTATCTCTTCCAAAATTAGTCACAAGGCTGTATCTATGAACTTAAGGGGTCAAGAAACTCTGTGAAGGATTTATTAAATCAAGGCCTTGGAAGTACTATTCACAGGAACACTAGCCAATTTTAGTTTTGAACTCTGGCCTAACCCTAAGTGATAATCAAATGCTTCTGCCTTGCTCCATCTGTACCCTTTTTAGTGATTCTTAGACAAGAAAATATCATGGGGTACCAAGCAATTCCTAGTCCTTGTTTTATAAGGCCTGGCTTTACCATCCATTGCCCTTTTTGGTTTGGTTGAAGATAGTGTGATCTAAGAGTGCCTATAGACAGATGGGACCAAAGAACTTCTTGAAAAATTTAAGATGTGCTATTCTACTTGTAGAATTTGGGTTAACACATGTTCTTGCAAACTTGGCTTCAGTGGAACTGTTTTTTAAGTGATTTAAGGGTAAGCATATGCATAAGTGTGTGGCTTATAGTATCTGAGTGACTGAATCCCTTTTATTGTGTATGACCAACCTTCATACTGTGTGATGCAGCATTAGGAACATTCTGTTCAAAATGCCTTCCAAAATGTAACTTGCACTCTAGGGGAAATGGCCCTCGAATAACCCAGGGGATGCAAAGGAGTCTTTAGTGTGTGTGTGTGTGTGTGTGTGTGTGGGGAAAAGGGAGCTTAAAGGAGATCAGGAAATAATTGTCTAATTATAGCTTTAACATTAGTTATTCCTTAATGTAGTAAACATGGGAATGGGTAAAACAAGTTTAGGTGGAGCTAGTAGAGTCCTGTCTATTAGTGCATTCTGAGTCAGCTGGAAGATGTGTATGGACCTGCATCAGTAGAATAAAAAAAATCATATTCCCTCCCCCACACAGTCTGTCCTAGAGAACTATACTGGCATTCATTGAAGTAGTTTGCTCCTAGGTAAAAAGTTTTCCTATCAATATAGGAAAGCAGCAGGCTGTTAGCTTGCTAGTTTACCTTTCACACCATTATATGGGTAGAAAGCACAAGGTGAGGTTTTATAGACACTGAAGTCAGGGGGTACCATTGCAGGCCTTGGGGGCCCACCTGAACTATGTTTATCCCATTGGACTCTGATGAGGCCGTATTGAAATGGCTGTATGGGCAAGCTGAGGATCCTGATCCTTGAGCAGTTTGTCACACTGTTGTGTGTCTCATTAGTTTAATGAAAGCTAATTTAAGAACAGTCACACATGCTGCATCTGATTGCAAAATAGATGTTCTGTGAATCTTTGAGCAGGGGGAAAAACCCTCCTTTTTAATTTAAACTTGTTTTTGAATTCTTAGCCCATCAGTTCTAATTATAACTTGAGAGCTAAATAATTGACAGGGCGAAGTCGGCAACTGTCATGGTGTACATGTAAGAGGTCCAATCAGGTGCCTGATGCACTTGCTTGTATGAAGACCTTTGACATATACGTCTATGCAAGAGTATAGAGGAATGGAGGCTGCCCTAGACCTACCATTCCCCCACTTTAGACCAGTGGTTTTCAACTTGTGGCCTGCAGACTGTCTTGAGTGCGGGAAGAGGTCTGCAAAAGATGACTACAGTGAATCAAAGTATGTGAATACCTATGCTTACAATCCAAAGTGGGCTGCAGCTCCATTCAAAATTTTGTAGGGGGTCTGCAAATAAAAGGTTGCAAATTGCTCCTTTAGACCATTGAAACAGAATCCAAAGACCAGACTGAGTGTAGATGTTCAGTGCCTCAGTGGCAGTAGCTACAACCAGCCAGAGAACAACAGGTAAGAACTTCTGTTGACTGTTTAATGCCTCAGTGAGGGTGCACTTCTGTTAGGGTGATGCCCACTATCCTTTCTCCAACCAAGGACTGACTACTCACAAAGCAGTGGGGGCTAGGGTTTTAAGATGCCCTATACTTGCCTTACTCTGGAGGCTGCAACATTGTGCTATTTTATAGGAACTACCCCACCACCTTGCCACCAGGCCCTCCAGTTAGATGTAGCTTACAGTTGTACCCAGGACCACATAAGGCAAAGTACTGAAGTTCTTACTGGGTGAGGGAGGTGAGTGGCTTTAGGGCTATACTTCTGTTTCGGCATATTTTCAATCTTGCTTTACCTAGGATTGTCCTGCTCCTAGCCCTAAGCGCTTTCCACAGAGAAGCTGGTCTTTTTTTCTACTTCTTATTGCCTAAGGACTGAGTTCACAGTGTGTTGAACCTTTTCTGCTCCCAGGGGGTATTGAGGGGAGATTAGACTAGTGCTCTGATTTAGTAAATCTGCACTTGGGTATAGAACATCTTGGGACAGGTATAGAATATGAGAGGGTGAAGAGGGCCCCAGGCCTTAAGTGGACCTATTTGTACTTTGACCTCCCATACTGCCAGTCCCAAACATTCAAAACTATATTTGGATCACAAAAGCATTTATGAAAACCCACTCTCTTGCCTTATTTGTCTCTTGCTAGTGAGGTGCACATCACAGTGGCTGCAGGTATGAATCAGGAGCTTGCTGGTTTTTAAGAAAAGGAACAGAGCTTCCCATATAATTGTCTGGCATGGAGAGACTTGACTTTTGAGAGAATCTTGCAGTACTTACTAGAGCTGGCAACTTTGCACTTGTGTGAGTCTCATTGAACTCGTTGCAGCATTTGGAATTTGAACAAGGACTTTGGGATTTGCACTGCAGTGAGATGTGTCTGTAACTAGTAAACTGGACTATAACCCTTTTGCAGAACAAAAAAACCCTGAATCCTGCCTGTGTTGCAGTGTGGCAGAGCCTTGCTTAGAGTTGCTGTTCTCTCAGACACTGGAAGGCCAAACTTTCCTTGTTGTGGGGGAAAGAGGGGGACAGACAGGACAGGCTCTTACCCTCCAAGAAATTCTCTCTTTTGTTTTAAGCAGACATTCCCACTAAAATAAAAAGCTCCAAAAGCAGGTGTCCTTGCTGCAACCTGACTGGTCATAGAATCAGAAGGCCGAGATGGATGTGAGGTGATGGAGGAGCGGAGTTGAGCTGTAAAGGGACCTCCAAGCTTATCTAGTCCAAGCCCCTGCCAGAGGCAGGATCATCACTATCCAAACCTTCCTATATGATCTGTCATTTGAACTTTACATAAGACTACCTGCCCTGAGAAGCTGACCAGCCTAGTGGTTGGCATCCTTCACAGGGAAATGCACACACAGCAAGCAGGCAGGACTTGAGCAGACTTTGTTTTTGGATTTTGTTTTTTGCCGTTAATTAGTGTAACTTTGTGGGCACCAAGATGTGACCACTTCTGTGTCCTTGCTTCTTCAGTCACTGCTGATTTCTTCACTGCTCTATTGGGAGGTAAAATGACTGACTGGTGGGTGGAGGGTGGGCAGAACCCAGAGATTACTGTGTGCTGCTGGGGAGGCCTCTCTGCAAACCCACCGCAGGGCTTGGAGAATTACACTTCGCAGTGAATAAAACGATTAGTTCACTTTGCTCTTCTGCCACAAGCCCGAACTAGGGAATGAGCATGTCAGCTTCTGGCCCAGGGGGAAATGGGTCTTGTTCACAAACAATTATGAATCTTTTGGGCACTCCCTATGCAAGCCTGCCTACCAGCAGGGGTTGGATTTCCCCTCTCCCAGAATTGGAAGCACGGTTTGGTGGGGCTCGTTTTGTTAATTTGTATTTATCCCTCCGTGTCACTGCAGCGGGCCCCCCCCCGCAAGCGCTCTCCTGCCCTCAGCTGCTCTTTCGGGGGGGGGTGGGCAGGGAGGATGTGGGTAGGGCGTGGCCTAACAGAAGCAGGCTGTTCTCGAGGCCGGCTCCTGTGCTCGTGGGCGGAGCCTGATAGGCAAATATAGGTGGTCCTGTAAAGCCTGGGTCCACTGTCCCTCCCGGGCGGGGGGCGGAGCCTGCCATGCAAATAACGACTCAAAAGAAAGAAGCCGTCGCTCCGCTTTGCCGGGCCTACTTCGCGTGTGGGGGAGGGGGGTGCGGCTTACCCGAAGCGGGCGGGGCCGCCCCTCGCGGAGCCGGCGTTGGAAGTGTGCGGCGCGTCGCGGCCGGGAGCAGCTGCTGGCGGCGCGGGAACATGGCGAGCGGCGCCGGCGAGGAGGTGAGTGGCGTCGGGGCCCCGCGGTAACCATGGCAGCTGCCTCCCCGGGGGGAGTTGGGGCGGGGTCCGGGCGGCGCGGGAAAAGTTTGTCGGTGGCGAAGGACCGGCCGCACCGGCTGTGTCCGGGACGCGGCGGCCGCAGGAGGAGCCGCGGGAGGAGCCGTCCTCGGGGTCGGAGCTGCCTCCCTCACGGGGAGGGAGGTGGCCCCGGCTCCCCAGGGCACGGAGCGGGTTGAGACCTGCCCGGCCGCCGGGGTCCCGCAGTGGCCGGGAGCAGATGCTGGAAGGGGAGCGGACTGGGTAGGGCGGGTTTCCCCGCTTCTCCCCGCTCGTCTCGCCGGCAGCCTCCAGCGTCTGAGGTTTAGGAAGTGCTGATGCCGAGGCCGAGCCCCTCACTCCCCTGCCCCTTTCCTCCAAGCATGTCCCTTTCCTCTCTGAAGCGGGCTGAGCTGTTCGCTTCCACCGCATGTGCGGCAACAGGTATCGGGCTTCAGTTGCACCCGGTGATAAGGGGGATTGCTGGAGAAAGTTTGAAGCCTTTCCAGCATCAGATTTGCAGGAGATGAATCGCAGCTGATGAACGGGTAGCAGGGAGGGGAATAACCCATTCCAGAAAGGTAGGACCTGGCTCTTATGGGAGCCTTGGGATCTTAAGATTTTTTTTGAAAGCTGAGTCTGATATTTTGAAAATAATTTCTTGTGGGTTCTTCTTTTTAAATAATAAGAAAAAAAAATCTAAGATTATATTTAAGCCATCTGTTTCCTGTGTTTTACAGTTCACCACAACTGCCTTGCAACATGCAAATTTTAAGCAGTTGTAAAACTTTGGATGTGAGCGATCCTTTTTTTTGTTTGTTTGTTTGTTTGTTTTTAATGGTCTTTCAAGATCAGGAACGAATATTACCATAGCAACGGATGCAAGGATCCCTAAAAGTTGAGGGAACTTTATGATGCTGCTTTAAAGATTAACATCCATAGCCTTATAATAACAACAAAAATGAGAGGTTTTGGTTGCGTATTGCACAGATATGCTTGCATTGCTGTATACAACTTAATTTTTTTTTAAATAGATTGATGGAGTAGTTTTTTTGTTGCTTGTTTTGTTCCCCTGCCCCCAATTGTGCGAATATCACTTGTTGCATTTTACTTCTAGGAGCCTGAGAGCAATTTCTTGTACCTTTAAATCTGATCGCTCAGGATATAGTGGCTTAAATACAATGGGAAGGGGGAACTTGGATCAAAGTTCAATAGAACTTGACAGGAAATGTTTCCTCAAGGTCCAGGTGTAGAATTCAGCTGGATTTGTCTCTGCTCTAGTCTAGAGTAAACTAATGCAAAGTGTGTGTTCCTTTTTTCGGTCAGTGGTCACCCACTAGTGGATCTCAATCCACCAGTAGATCTCAGAGTCTGCTGTGGTAGATCTTGGAGTTGATCTGAGGCTGAGGTAGGGGGGACTGAGTGCCCATGTGCATGTATGTGTGTGCCCCAGCCCAGCAGGTCAGTCCATGGGGGAGGGAAGTGGTGGGGGGGCTAGATCAAGGCCCCTGCAGTGAGGGACAGTGCTGCAGGGGCAGGTTGAGTGGGGCCCTGGCTAGGTGGGATTTACCTGCTGGGGAGGTGTGCCCCCAAATTTTTCTCCCTCTGGCTCTATCTGCCTCATCTCCCCTTTCCTCTCCACAGACCTGCCGGCAAGGCAGACTGTGGTGCACAGTAGATCTTGGGTTGCTTTTAAATGTCAAAGGTGATCTCCTACTTAAAGGTTGGAGACCACTGCCTCAGGTGCTGTGTATGCAGAGAAAGTTTGGCAACCATTGATCCTTGCAATCATGGTGTATCCATGAGAGGTCACCCAAACCTTTGCATGTGCCTAGGCAGGATTTTTTTTGGAGGAGTGGAGGCTTCCCAGACCTTCCATCCACTGAGACAGAATCCAAAGGCCAGACTGGGTTCAGATGTTTGGTGCATGACTGTGCATCCAGGAATTGAACCTGGGTCTCCTGTCCAGATAAGGATTCTACCACTGAACCATGGGGGGCTCTGCAGAGAGAGCCTTGTACTATCTTGTGCCTCCCTTACTGTTTTGTCTTCCAGTTTCTTCTAATATTTTTTTACAGCTTCTGGTGCTGCTAAATAGTGACAAAATACTCAGCATTTTTTTTCCAGCTAATTTGAAAGCTTAGTAGCCTTCTGTTCCTCCCTTTAACATTTTGTGTTCTGAAGACCATATTCTCACCATGTAAATTCTTAAAACTGTTGTAAGTATACTCCTTGAGGCAAATAATTAGCAGTCCTGAATTTGCATTTGAACCTCCTTTTTACACAGTATCTGGTGTTTGGAAGTCCAAGCATATTGTTTGGAATTCGGTCTAGTAAGTGGCAAATCCTCAGATGTAACACAACCCAGAGAAAGATCTTTAGAGAAACAGGCACCTATAAAATGGCTTTGTCTTTCACTAAAACAATGACTACTCCTGTATGGAAATTAGTTAACATTATATTGAAAGGATACTTTCATTTCAAACACTTCTGAATTTAGAGAGATTAGATAGCCTTACTCTCTTGGAAAGGATATCAATATTGGAACACAAGCCTTTAAAAACCTCTTATTCTTTCACTGTGAAAGAATCACACTTTTAAGTGTGTTTAACCATTCAGAAACTTTAAACTAATAGGTCAGATTTGCTCCCAATCAAGTGTTAGCCTGGCTTTGCAAGAACGTTAAAGACCGCTTAGTTAGTTGGAAATCTTAATCCTTGTTTGGGGGCAAGGGGGTAGAGGAGGATACTCCAGCAAAAGTGTGGTCAGGAAATGTCTGGTTTCTGTAATCTGTTAGCAGTCATGGGGACTTGAGTAGACTGCTATAAAGGTGGATTTGCAGCTGTACTTGTGGCTCCAAAGACCCCCCAGAGTACTACTTGGCAGTCTGGGGTTAGCTCTTAAAATGAGTGGTGCGATTTACCTCATCAAGGTGATCTGGGAAAGTATAATGTCCAAATGAAGCCGGGTATATCAATACAGATGTGCTACATGGGCTAGTTGTTGAATAACGTTGTTTGCTTTTCTATACATGCTGAAGTTGCCTCTGAAACAACAATGGGCTAAATGGGGAACATTACCTAATATCCATTGTCTGGGTGCAGTAGCAGGTATTGTAAAGGTCCTGCTGATGTGGCTGCTTTCCTTAATTTAAAATGGAGTGGTGGAAGTAGTGAAACCCTTCTTTGTCCTTTTTTTCTCTTCCTTGGGACATGGGGATTTGCAGCACATTCTTACCCAAAGGTAAGGGGGGAAAGAGCCTGTGCTAGCTTTTCCTTTTGATAACTGATAGTAGTTTGCTTGTCTTTTAAACTTCTAGTAGGCTTTGTTACCCTCTGATAAGGGTAGTTGCTGCAGAGCAGCTGATGCTCTATAAAACCCTTTCTGTCTTGCCTTGCAGTAACTTATTTGTGTGTTTTCATATGCTTATTGTCAAGGCCACTTGGTTGCTCAGGGTGAGAAATTGTCACAGCTCATTTCTATTTTCTCAATCTCTCTGTAGGATTTCTCTTACCTGGGGAAAAAGTGGGGTTGGATAGAGGGGCCACCTGAGCTTTTTTTCACCACAGGAGGTATGCTTACCAAAGCTGCTGATCCGATGGGTTTTGTATTGTTGCAGGTCCCCCTTAACTCTGGGGAGTGGGACTTCCTTTGTTGCAGTTCTGAATTCAAACCATTGGGGCTACTCTGAAGGGTCATGGCCTCATAGGAATGTAGGGGTAGAAGGGACCACATGAGGTGTTTTTTTTTGGGGTGGTTTTTTGTTTTGTTTTTTTTAGTTCAGCTCCTGGCTTTAAAGTAGTAACATCCTTGACTAAACCATCCCAGTCAAGTGTGTATCTAGCCTGCTCTTGAAAGTTTCCAGGGATGGAGAAGCCACAGCTTCACTAGGAGGGAGGTCAAGCATTGGAACAGGCTACCAAGTCAGTCCTTCCTAATCTCTAATTTCTTGTGCTGCAGCTCAAGGCCACTGCTCCTAGTCCTGTACATCTCCTAGGACCAGAGCAGATCCAGGGAAGGTGCATTTGCACCCCACCTTTCGATTCTTGATTTTTGTGTTTTTTATTTATTTTTTTGGCCCCTCCCCTCTTCCACAGAGCCTTTTGCCTTACTATTGAAGGCATGACTTGCTCTTGGTGAATCCCTGCTCCTCAAATGGATTCTTTGAGGAGCTACTCCATCACCTATGAAGGTTATACTTTGGTTGGTCTGTCCTGTTGGTGTAACCTTTAGATGGATGCATCTCTTTCCTGCTTTTGCAGCATTCGCTGGAGTGTTGCTGAGTAACATGGCTTTACTCAGCAGCTGCTCCTCCACTTGTGCCAAACCTGAGATGGGGAACCTGCCCCACAAATATCTCCTGCCACCATTCTCGGGTAGGCCAGACAGAGATCTTGATGTAGCAAGGGTTGCCCCAGGAAGGCATCACTGTCCTTTTTTTTTTTTTTTTTTTTTTTTTTTTTTTTTTTTTTTCCCCCCCCATATCTGCACTTATGGGTGTGCAGGACCATGCTTACCAGCAGTGCTCTCAAGAGACCTTAGCAGTGACAAGGCTGGCTCTTACTACAGAGCTGCAGCAGAGAACAGGCAAGAACCTACTGTGGGGGGGGATGGGATGGGACAGGGATGTGGGGAAGTGAACTGAAGGATGAGAGCAGGGAAATCCAGGCTTGTTCACATGAGTTCCAGCAGTCCTCGACTTATGTCTTGCACGTACAATGTTTATAAATTGACACCGTGTTTCAATTTCCTGATGTCAGTTTCTACTTTACAACGCTTGATCCAATGTGATGCCACACCAGCAAACAACTTCACTCTGTTGCCCATCTCCCTGGAGCACATCTGTTCAAACTTCCTTGGACACTTCCTTTAAGAAAGCAGCCAAGATTCCTGAGAAGACTCCAGCCAAGAACCCTTCAAAATGTCCAGCAAAGTTGCCTCAAAAGTTCTTCCAAATCAATATG